ACTAGGAAATTAAATTTAACGATTAAACAATACCTACGATATTGATTTAAGACACAGATTGCGTTTATCAACGACCCTTTACCACACTAGAGTGTGAAAAAGACAAATAACAACAAACCAAATGTAACAATAAAGTAATCACAATATAATAAAACACATATTGAAAGTACAATACGGGTCAATAATTAAAATCAAGTAAAATCTTATTTCGACTATCTTTGTCAGATGCAAAGAACGAATTAAGTCCGATGGTTTCTGATCTAACAGTAGCGTTAGCAGTTCAAAATATCAAACAATATAATTACATATCCGATGATAATAGACGAAGAAACATAAATGTGTGATTAAAAGCACAACGCAAAAGCATGTGCCGCATTAGAATGATGTTAAGATTTACCTAGAAATATATCTGTATACAAAAATTCAGTATCAAATTATAAATTTAAGGCTTCTGAGTAGTTATCACAGCCATATTGAATCGTAACGTCAGAAGCAAGAAAAATGATACGTTAATTTTTGTTACATACCATTTGTAAATAAAGACAATTTTGATGAAACAAAATGATGAGATCGCTTTAAAACAATTGTAAAGGTAGACGAAAACTATCCTTATCCCCCCTGACAGTAAATAATTACGAAACGTCATAAAAGACACATGAAGTGCTTTTATTCAATGCGCATACGTAGTCTATTTACACTTTTACATGTCTTTTATCACTTTTTATGATTTTGTCCATGATTTGATTCAAATACTTCTATAAATAAAATCTCTGCTGTAATAAATTCTACTGCTAACGTATCTAATACCGATTTATTCAATTTTGAATTTTAAATACGACAAAAAATACACAAATGTTATGGAATAGACAATCAGATATTGCAACATGTTGATACACAAGTTGCATTTGAAGCTATTTATAATCACAATACATATTCAACGTCAACTTTATTATATGTTCACGGCTTATTGTCGTCATTGATGAATGAGAAAAACTCAATTTCATGACGGTCATGATCTTGACACTCGATTAAAGCAACATAGCACGTCGTATGTAATGCAACAAATTATGATCGTTTCTTTGCGATGAGACTACATATATCTGTTATTTGCTCGCATTCAACCTCTCAGCTGTAACCTACAAATAAACGTTTCTTTAAATTACTATAAACAAAAAATAAATTGCTTATTAACTTTGATTGCACAATGAAAATGCAACTACACATATGTAGGCGTGTATGCGTGTGTAACGCGATTTAAAAAAATTTATAATATAAAGTTGCATGATACAATTTAAAAAATATTTAAAAAATTCATAAGAATTTTTTAAAAATTACAAAAGTAGAAACGTAATCTTGGCGAAAGAATACCTCGGTAAGAAATTAGAAAATGTAAATGACATAATTTAAAGAAGTCATGCGTCGAATGATAACTATATTGACGATGACTATATTGAAGATAAAAAGAAACACATGGTGGGGTTGAGAAAAAATGTTTCTCATATCATGGTGGGGTTAAAAATATGTTTCTGAAGTATAATAACAGCAAGTATAGTAACGAGCTATGTCTAGTCTTTACTCGACTACGGTTTGTGTTGGATACGTTTTTACTATCATTTATTGGATATATGTTTTCTTTCATTTTTAGTGAAATTATTTTGTATTAATCGCGTTCAAGAACCAAACGAAAGCAGATCAGAAGAAAAAAGAAATTAAAAAGGTTTGAAAATGCAATCGTTTATCCATAAATATTTACAAAGAACTAATTTTCTATGAAGAAATAACTTCACAAATATATAAGTATTTAACTTAAATGAATTTGATTATTTATTCATATTAAATATTCTGTTAATTTTCTGTATGTGTTTATAAACAAATAGTTACATACTGCATAAATTACTAGGAGTAATCTTTTTCTTTTCTAATAGTTTGTAAACTACATTATTCAAAATTATATACTATATTTGTTTATTTAAAAATTATTAATTAAAACATTGAAAAAATATCTTAATTTCAAAAAAATTTTAATGACTTTAAAAAAATATTTTTTTTAACATGAGCAATGACAATATTTATTTGAATTTTGCACTATATTATAAATATGACACAATGAGACTCCAACAGATAAACTCGCTTGTGTTAATTTCTTTGTGAGATTATGTAAATTAATACAGATTTTTTGAAAAAATGTTTTTAAACGAAAAAAAAAAAAGATTAAGTTTACTAAATTACTAAATAAATTTAATATCTTTTTTAATATTTTAATATTTTTTCACAGATAAATTTAATACTTTAAAAAATATTTTTTAAACATTTAATTTTTCTTTTGTTGACAACAACTTTACACATAAATTTTTTATTATAATTAATTATAGTCGCTTTTATAATTTTATAATTTTCGAAAACGTCGACGAAATTCGAACATAAGATTTTGGGGTGGTCTAATACTCTAACGTTGAGCTATATAAGTCGGATATACATATAGCTCGCAAGCATTATTTGTCCTTGTTTAACATTTGATAAACAATAAGGACAAAATCATTCTGTGAGCTTTGCGAGTGTCAAGTAATCGCACGTTTCTTTGTCAATTCGATATTCGATAGTTGTAGTAGTTTCAACTATAGGCCCCTGCAGAATGCGGAAACGCTTACTGCGCCAAACGATAAGCAAGTATCCAAAATCAAGGTTCGCAACCTTTAAATGTCGAATTGCGTAAAAATCTGTATTAATTACATAAATACATTACATTGAAATTAAATACATATTTACCTTTAATAAATATTTATTTTGTTTAGAAAAACGTTTTATTTTATATTTAACGAATTAATTATCTGACTAAAACAATAATAATTACAAACGGACTCTCAAATTTTAAAATAATGTACAAATAAATAAAAGCAAAGCTAACGAGAGTCATTGCGGCTAAATGGCGCAAATTATTATGAAAAAATTAATACTCAGTAGTTTATAGTATGAAATCTTTATTTGAATTAATCTTTGACAATTTATAAGTGACTTGATCTTTATGGATATGTGAGCTTTCGATTCGAATTGTATCTACATTGCTGAGGACTCCGAAGACTTGAAATGTTAAAATAAAAAGAATTAAGACATCATACTATAATTACTGAGTATTAATTTTTTCGTAATAATTTGCACAGTTTTTAGCCGCACTGATTCTCATTAGCCTTCCTTTTATTTACTCGTATATTATTTGAGTAAAGAAAAATACCTTTAAGACAAAAAACAAATATTATTACTTGTCAAGATTAACAAATGATCGCACGTAAAATACGATTGGATATTTATCTTTATGCATACGTTTATGCGGCTATACACGTATGCAAATTTGTCTGGATATGGATTAAATTTGCGTTAATTATTATATTGAATTTATCGATTATAGCATAAGTTAACACTTTACGGCCAGTATAAACACTTATTAAAGCTACTGAACTAATGAATATCTTATGTAAATCAATATGGCGTATTTATACCAGATGCTCATTAGTCCAGTGACCTCAATTTTGTGCGTGATGACTTAAGGTTGGAGCATAGACCTTTGCGATACTTTGCATAATGTATAAAGCATAAGAAAATGAATCAATTAGTCTTTTATTTCGTAAAAAAGAAGAAAATAAAGAACTTTGATTGATTCGTTTTCTTATGTATTATGCGTTATGCACAAGATTGTGCTCCCCTCCCGCCCTTACAAATATATTCAAATAAACTTTACTAACTTTGCATAGCCGCATAAAGGTATACATAAAAAAATTATCCAATCGCATTTACATGTATCTTTATAATAGAAGCTGAATAATTTTCTTTAGACATACGTTTATGCGGTTATGCATGTTTGTCTAGATTTTTAGATAGACCATAACAGTTACAAAAAACAAATTTCGTAATAATATTATAATTTTATAACATAAGTTTCAATTAATTGTTACAGACATAAAATATAATCAATAGTTTCTGGCCTCAAAAAGGATTAACCAGTTATTATCGCTAAAAAGATATGAATGCAAGTAACCCAATTTCGAAATTCCGATTTCCTACAAAAGTCGTTCATACGATTGTTATTTTTGCCGATATCGATTTGCAATTATTATAAACCAAGTTTCGTAACTGACTGAAACTTGCAGTTACCGACATCAATTTTCCGCGCGTCGACACCCTTCGTGGAATGGATTGTTTCTTAGTTGTTAATTAGAGCGTAGCATTATGTAGAAAAAAAAACGCAGGTAATAGCTATTTTAATCGTGTACACAACATACGAAAGATATCTATAAGCGAATATGACGTAGATGGCAGACGTTGTAACCAAGCGGAAGTACTTCCAAGCATGGTCGAGTTCGTGCATCAACACTAAATTAATTAACATATTCTCGTCAAGACATTTGGTTTATGAATATCAAGTACGATATTCACAATTAGCCATACGGAATTCTTCGACATATTTATGCTACCGTTTCTTCCAATTTTGTAAAATTCTCAAGTTTTTCAAATTATTCATAGTAAAATTTGTTTTTTCCTTACAATAAAAAGATTGTTAACTTAATTTCCATATAATTGTATTATCATATATAATATTATATCAATTTGCAACTGTTGTTTTCCGTTAAATTTTTTAATAACGTTTTTTAGACTTTCACACAGTTTAATTTGTTTAATTTCTTATTAGAATCAAATAACTGAAAAAGACTTGACATATACAATATAATTAAAATTAGATTATAGTTATAAACAAGAATTAGCACATCGATTATACGATATCTTATATGTATAAATAACATCTTGATATCACGTCTACGAAATCATTGGCTGAGAAAATGTTTATTAATCTTTTATGGTGAAATTCGAGTACTTCAAGTTCAATCTCGCAAAGAATATAGAGATAGAATTGATGGTTAAATGATTCTCAGCCAGTGATCACCTTAGTCTTGCGTTAGGTAAATTTATTGCTAAAATAAAATGGAAGAGGAAAATTCTGTCACACTCACCTAATCCCATATCTCGGAAAATTTCCTTTGGCGCGATTTCAATTTCTTGCTTCTTGCTGATTGGACGAGAAGGGACGTAATCGGTTTCTTTGGGCTTTGGTATTTCGCGCCGTTTGATACTCTCCTGCTTCGAATCGGCTGTCTGCTGCGGCAGCGGCGGTGACGGCTTTGTAGCCTCCGCGATTAAGAAGTCACTCGATGTTTCGTACACGTCCTGATGTGCCTTCGCCAGGAGCTGCGCCTCCCTAGGTAATGGAGGCAGCGGTTTCGTTGGCGGTTCGAATATCTTCGCCTGTTCCCGCTTCAGGTCTATTTTCTCCATCATGTTCCATGAGTCATCATCCGTAATATTCTTAACTTTGTTCTCCTTCAATAGCTCGCTGTCATCTCCAAGAAAGTCTATGAGTGGTGATTTTTCCGGTGCCGGCAGCATCGACGACTTGATGCTTTGCATAAAATCGTCGGTAGTGCTGCCCAATGGAGTGACGTCGCGCTCATATTGTTTTCCATAATCGGTAAACAGTGTATCCTCGCGTTTCTCGATCGATTGAACCTTGCTGTCGACGGGTTTCATCAACGATGACAGTAAAAGGTCGCTATCAGGTTGAATGGTCGTAGTCGCGGTCGAGGTCGATAACAACGGCGGTTGGAGAAGTATCTCTTCCTGCTCGTTGTCATCGTCGTCGTCATCGTCGTCGTCGTCGTCATCATCATGAAGTTGGTGATGATAGATCCGCTCGGTCTCGACGAACGTCATACTGGCTAGCTTGGGATCGACCGGGTCCAGCGGCTGCTGGAACGGATCCGACGACTGCGCCATGGCTGCGCACTTATCGAAGTCTGCGGAAGGCGGCGGTGTCGCCGGCACGGGTTTCGCTTCGGCGTCAAGAAGCGCGCTGGGCAATGTCGAGTCCAGTGGATGAAAAGAATCACCGATGTGTAGCAGATCATCGACACGTGGCGTGTCAATTGGCTGCGGTGGCGGTTGTTGATGCTGTTGCTGTTGCTGTTGCTGCTGCGGCTGCGGCTGCTGCTCCGAACGATCGTCTGGAGAGCCGTCGTGGCCGAGATGCTCGAAATCGTCGACGGAATCGTGATCCCTCTTAAGAAGGACGTCGTTGAGATCGTCCTGAATCCGCGGGTCCATCTTCGGATTTAATGAGATAAGAGCGATTTGTGTGCTTGACGATGACTCACTGGATCTACACGAATTGGCCAGTAGCCGTTAGAGCTTCGATCCCCACACGATGTCGGTTGCGCGGAATATTGCGCGACGCTCCCTACTCTCATAAAAGTCAGATACGAGGAGCGGCGCTACTCCCACCTGCCGCTGCTGTTGTTGGTGCCGTCGCAATTCCTCAGTGGGGCACATCCGATGTCCTTGCCGTCCTGACTCACCACTGCCTTTAGTCACCGTTAGTCACCACTGCCTCTACTCTCGCTCGCGCTTTGCTACACCCTCTTTTTGTCACTTCACGAAATATGCGCGAACGCTCACTAATACCAACTACTTATACTCACTTGTCATATGCGCCGTCATTGACCAGCTGACGGAATTAAGGACGACGAGAAGCGTGACGAGGCAAAGTACCTTAGTAGGGCAGAAACTGGAAAAAATTCGACCGCGAATTGTGTTAAACGCGAAACGTTAGTATCCAGGCTAAACGTAGATTATGCCTGCTTGAAACAGGTTGTGTTTGATACAATCGATGCAGACGGGTAGATTTGGTCGTCATGAGATGCACTTCCCTCGCGAAGGGGTTGCCCTCTCCCGTTGCTCTGACAGTGAACAGCGCGAACCAATCGCGCGGATGCTATCCATCCCTACCATATTCAGTATGCTGAACTGAGCAGCAACCGTTGCGTTTCATTTTTACCGTTCGTTTTCGTTCGTTTCGCCGGCTAAACAACAGGGCCCCCATTCTTCACAAGAAACATGTATGAACAACTAGGGAAATACTATAATACACGTTACGTATACTGTAGTATTTACCTAGTTATTCGTATACGTTTCTTTTCAACAAGTATAGAGACCTAGATAGATGTTGTTACGATCAGTGACTTATAACTTACATTGCGCATCGAGATTTTGGAAGTGGTCGCAAGCACCGACGAGAACTATTAAACTATTGAAGATCCTAGGAAAATTTTCATGGCTAATTAACGGGGCCCAGAGAGTCCAAGAATAATAACATTATCAACAATTGATATAAATTTGCAATTATTAACCTAAATGTTTGGAGTATTTGGATAATATACATTATGAAATATATAATTTTTTTATATACATTCTAAAATGCAATATAAATAATATGCATATTTGTAACGCTATAATGTCTCACAATTTTCGAATTTTGCATTGTATAAAATTAAGTTAGCTTAGAAATCTATAAAAGTAAACTTCACCGGAAATTATAATTATAAGTAATTAATAGAGAATATTACTATCTATGTACCAGATGTTTCAAATCACTCCACTTAAAAATGAGAAGTGGTTATTTTGAAAAATGTTTCAGACAAAAGTTGTTGAGAATCAAGTAACGTATTACTTGGGCATATGCAATTGACCTTGGGAGGTGTCACGAAGGTCATGTCAAAGTCAACTTGAATTTTTTAAGTGAGAACCTGTATGTTTTATTGCATATTCTTGTAGCTGACATCAAAATGTTCTCGAAACGTTGGTTACAGACCCTTTCTAGTTGAGATCTTCCCGAGTTCTGAGACTTGAAAGTTTCAGTACCACCGGCGTTCACAATACCAAGATGTACTGCATGCAAGAGGTCGCACGGTCGGATTTACACCTCTTCGGAGCACTTGAATAAAGTGCACTTTACACATCCGTACTCAGCCGACTCAGCCCAAGAGCTACTAGGCCGGAATCAGACTATTGCCTTGAAGATTGAGATTGAAGATTAAAGATTGAAATTTCACCAATGAGGACAAAGAAATTTTGGCTTCTTTTGTTCTGATTGGTCAAACTTCAATCTTCCAATCTTCGACCTTATTCTTCATAGTCTCATTCTGCGTAGTCTGTTTCTGGCCCAAGGGCTACTAGCCGGTTGTGTCGACGATTACGGCAATTGGTGCAATTGAGTGCAAATCGGTTTTCATATTTTCAATGCTGATAAATAAATTAATTCTTTTAAGGTTATGAGGTTATCGTGATAAAGAATATGTAATTAAAAGGGTTAAATTATTTATTAATACTGAAAATATGTGAATTAATTTGTGTCAAGATGTGTTAAATAATTGGAAAGCACCCATACCAACCCATACACAACCCACACACGGATAGTACAACCAAATGAACCAAAGAAAAACCTGAGAGCGGCCAAGCCCAAGATTCAGCCGTTACTTCGTTTTGAAGCGCCTCTATGTTCACAAAATGTGGACATTGAACGTAGCTAATGGTAGCTAGTGTCAATGATCCTGTCGATAATGTCCACGATTTTTTGGATTCTATTCCATGCTAGGTCCACGATTTTCGGTTTCAATCCATTAAACAGACAATGACGGACAACGACGGACAATCAGTCTTATCGCTGTGAAATCTTTATATTGCATAAATGTAGCAGAAATAATGCGGGGTCTACAATAAAATTGATCAATTGCAGATTATTCTTCTCATATTCGACTGTAATTGGTCAATTTTCTACGACTTAAGACCCTACGATCGCTAGGACTTCAATCGACGGGCCTTATGATTGTGGTGGTGATGACCGATGACTTTTATAGTTGTATGTAAACGGGCCTTTAATCTTTCAGATTTGTAGCACGCGCAGACGCGCATGCGCGGTATCCGTATCGCCACCGCGACTGGCAGGACTGGAGTGGAGTCAGCTGAAAGCCGAAAAGGTGGTGGTCAGTGGTGAACCCGTCAACAGTGGCGGGGTGAAATGTAGCGTGGTGTGAACGTTGGAGTAGTGAGTGGTAGCGACGAGTACGCATTGCTCCGACTCGCTCCGACGTTCGACGTCGTGTCTAGTCCTGTAGTTCCATCGTGCTATTGGCTCAGTGGCTCTCGGCTCGAGTGGCTCGAGTCTGTAGCGCGAAATCGTCGTTATCCGATTATCCGGTTGCTGGAATCTCTTAAGTCGCTTGGCAATCTGGTGACTGGTGTGGATGATCGAGCCGATGAGGATGGCGACAACGACCACCATGAGATTGCGTGTCGATACTTGCGACGAGGCAGCGTCGTCGAATCTCGAAGGGAAGCCACTGCGGAATGGCTTAACCTCGCCCGGCGTTATGGATACCGGCAAAATCAACGGTTACGCTCTGCCAAGTATAAACGGCCACGTATACGTAAGTAAGCGTTGTAATGATGCTCGCGCGTTATATGATCCCGTCGGTTACTTCGATCTCACGTTCGCCGTATCACAATCGCGTCCAGAGAGTCGTCTCACGTCACCCTTTTCTTCACTCACTCACGATCAGTGTGACACGGACCGTTATCAATGTTACCGAGTTACAATTACTCCACTTCCTTTTCTTCGCGAGATATACTTCATTAATTGACTTTGAAGTATACAGTTTGATTCAAAAAGTGCGATAAAAATTTTCATTAGTTTATCCGGTGATTTAATTCAATCAATGGAATAAAAAAAGGAAATTTAATTTCTTGGATGCTCTCGTATTAAAGCCATTGTACACTGATTTAATTCAATCAATGGAATAAAAAAAGGAAATTTAATTTCTTGGATGCTCTCGTATTAAAGCCATTGTACACTGATTTAACCAAAGCGTAAAAGTCAAGTGCAAATATTTCAAATTATAAGATACAGTTATTATCTAACAGCACAATACAAAGTATCGAGGATTTAATTTATTTCTGTGATTTGTATTAAATACATCTTTACATCTCGATCTGTGTACGACTTTAATTTGTGCACCAGAGGTGCTATTCTGGCTGTGTTCCAAAATTTAATGCCAGTATTAAAAATCTATAGTGCACTTAACGTAAGCTATAGATTTTCAATACTATCAGTAAATTTTGGATTACAGGCTTCGTACACGTCTACCGATAGTTGTCGGTGTCATTATGTGTTGTTGTGCAATTATTTTGTATAGTGAAACAGCTGCGTAACGACATATAATAACACAACAATTTTCGATAATGTGTCGTCTAAAATACACGGGAAAAAAAGAGTAAGCCACTTTGACTAACTTTGACGGACAATTAGTCCATTGACCAATCGTATTTGTCATTTGGTTTGACGAAAGATGCGATTTGTCAACTCCGATAGAAGTTAAAGTTAATTGGAGTTGGTTGAAGTGGCCCTAAGAGTAAGAAATTGATCAATCACAGTCGAATATGAGAAGAATAATCGACTGTGATTGGTCAATTTCTCACTCTTACTTACTCCGTGTATTGTAGACGACGCATAATGCTTGTTCTACAAGAAACTGGCCAATCACAGTTGAATATGAAAAAAATAACTATAATTAGTTAATTTCTTACAGCTTACGACTTGCGACTTTATTGTAGAACAGGCTTAGAGCCTAAGCACAAAGATGACCGTAACTGAATGCGTTCAATCGAATTCGATAATAATCCTAATCGTAAGATTTTAAAACTACGTACGTTACAATATATACCTACAATATTTTTCTCCCTTAGGTATTGAAAAAAATATATTGCTCTTGAATGCTTTATCGTACAAATAAGTTATTTAATTTTAAATGAAGCTGCGAAAATGTGACAATTAGTCCCGTACATATTCGGGATTGATTATCATACGTTGGGTAATAATATATTTTTTTATGGATAAAACATAGAAATAAATAGTTTTTATTTCAATGTTAGTTCTATATTTTGGGAAATAACAGTAATTGCAGTATTGATACAAGTTATTTGAATCATAAAATACATAATTTGTTTTTGTAACAAAGTTTTTATACAAGAAATAAGATACATATGTAACTACCTATATAACAAATATATTCGCAATCATATTCTAAAAACATATCGATTTAAAGAAATTATAAAATTGACTGTCACCTAATCTTGACATATTTTGATCAGTCTATATGATCGTTTTTAATAAAAAAAGATTGTATTTACAAACTTTATTACAATATAATGATTAATTTTAACTATACAGTAAAAATTATTTAAGATATGTGTGTAAGCTAGCCTCTCACTTGGTGGAAACTCATTAAATATTGAGAGAATTCTGAGTTTATCTTCAGTTCTATCACTTTTGCAAAAAAATTAAAAATCAACACACAAATTAGCAATGTTAATTGTTTTAGAATTATGTATCTTTTAAAATCCTATACTATGGCTTTCGTTACACAAAGTGAGCGCTGCATGAATCTGGCGTTTCATTTTACACTTTAGGTTTCTCGGCTTTAATGACCGGAAATTATTTATTTAGCCTATGTAGTGTTATAGAATTATTGAAAATAAACTCAGAACTCTCAATATTTAATTAATGAGTTTCCACAAAATGAGACGTCAGTTTCATACATAATTATTTAAGACGTACCATTTTTTACAGAATAATCACGATTAGTAATACTAAAAACGTATTAAAAAAAAGAAAAATTTACTTAGCAATTTTATTTTTTAGTAATTAATAATAAATATAACGTAAAGTAAATATTAGGTGAAAAAAATATCAAACAATCAAATTTTATTTTTTTTTTAAATCCAATAAAACTCTACTGAGCTAGATTTAAAAAACTGGGTTTTTTCCAGCCCTGGTATATAATAGTCGAAACAATGCTAATTAGCATTATTATTTTATAGTAGTGCAAGCATTATCATTCAATCACAGAATTTATTTCTCATTCAAAATATAGAATATGAACGACTAACTAGCTTTTTTAAACACGACAGAGTACTTTGAGATGTGACCACGAGGTTACTTACTTGTCCGTGAAATGTGATAAGTGATCCGGTATGCTCGCAGAAATCGCTATCAGTGCTGTAATCAACTTTTTAGATTAAGATGACGTGTTAAGATTAGGGGATACGCTGTAAGCACTTTCTGT